TATATCTTTAACTTGAGATTCTTGTGCCTAGGGCAAGGGAAAGAGGCAAGTAGCACAGAACATGGTGCTTCCGTTACAGAATCAACCAAAATCCCGAAATTTGACACTGGCTGCATTGAGAACTTGCTTGGTCTCACAAACATCTTCTTTCCTTCAGAAGATCTACTTTCATTTCTTAAGGTATTTTTAATAGGTTCAGAATATCTGCCTAAAATGAGCTATAATACTTAAAAACAAATGGGACACACAGTAAAATATGATGCCACTATTAAACAGAGGAACAGAATGAAATAGTGAGAATCTCCATCCTCATTGCCCAAGAGTCAGTAGTATTATGTGGCAAGTATCTATTCTTATTTGTTTGTTTGTTTGTTGCATTTCTGTACCGCTCATCTCATCCCTGCGGGGACTCAGAGTGATGTACAACATGGTAAAATGGCAAAAATTCAATGCCTAACATACACATAAAAGCACTACATAACAAAATCAATAACATATAAGTATGAATTAAAACCATTAAAAACTATACAAAGACACATCATAACATGAACATAAAACCTATTAGACATTCTTGACATTATCTCCTCCCTCAATTTGTTTCTAAATCGTTTAATTTGTTAATATGTCTATTGAGAAGTGGGTAGACTAAAAATCTATTCAAGGAAAAGTAAGTTTTGTCTACTTCATTTTTACAGCATGAAATCACGACAAAAGAAGAGTGGGATAAACTGATACAACTGCTCACAGAATTCCAGAGGAAGGATATAGATTTTATTTATGGCAATCTTGAAAAAATTCTACCTTTACCTGTCAGTAAACTTCCTGAACCAATGCCTGTGCCTCCTCTCTTATGTGAGAACCTTACAAAAACCACTTCAAATAACAAACCCCTTGACAGTGAGAGCTTGGGGAAAGCTAGTCCTGTGGAAAAGGCTAAGCAGACAAAGCGCCTGAGGAAAAACATTGTACTGGATGATAGTGATTTATTTGAGAGTGAGCTGAACTATTCTGGATTCATTACTTTGCCATCTGACACAACTAGCTCATGCTTAGAAGAAAAACCCAAGTTCAAAAGCACAGCAGGCCTGAACGATCAAACAACAGCAAAAGCAGAAGCCTCTGCCCTTACATTCCAGTGTCTGGATTCACTAACTGAATTTGTGGATAATATGTCCTTTTCTGACTGTTGCTTCAGCAGGAGGACTGAGGAATCCACACAGTCTTGTAAATATGAGGAATTTCTTTGGACAAAGGGAAAGATCAAAAATGGTCTATCTGATGAGTTCAGTCTGGAGGATACTGACTGGTGGAGCTCCCAGAGCTCTATTGAACTGAAAGCAACCATGGAAGCACTAAATTTTAACAAATGCCTTAAGAATGTTTCAAAAATAATGAAAAATGCATTGAACACTGCTAGAACTTGTGAGAAGAATGATTTTGAAGAACTTCCCCTCCATTTTTCAAAGGACCAATCCAATTTATACTTTGGTCAATTAGCAGCTAATTCAAGGTAAAGTCAACATTCCTTTGAGGTATATTGCATGAAGGGGAGGAGGGTTGAGCAAAGGGGTCAGAAGGAACAAGGCGTTTCTATTTATGTATAAAGAATTGAAGCAAATGGAGGGGGATTTACATAGATATATAACGTATTCTTTGGTATAGATACAGCATTTTGGCTCAAGATCAAAACTCTTTTGTTTAAATGCGGAGTTTTTACAAAAAAACCCAACAATATTTATATTAATTTTTGTTGCTGGAACTGCCAGACGTGGTTATAGCTTAGCTATTGCTACTACTTAAGATGTGATTATGAAAGTTTTATATGTATATTATACACACAAACTTTCTGCAAGGAATAGTCTTAACAATGAAACATGAGTCAACTTTCAGTCACCATGTTCTTCAGTGAATTCCAGTTTTAGCACTTTTTTCTTACTGTGCTAAACTATAGTCTGTCTGAGAGAAAAGATGCATTAGAAGTAGAAGTTTTACAGCAATAAAATGTGGATGATGTAGATTTAACCACACTCAAGTTGTCTTTGCATTTTAAATGAGACTAATCTCACCTGTGCTTTATATGGGATTCAGAGAGACTTGTATTATTCTGGTTGCATCCAGAAGTCTTATTAATGGAAATTGGCACATATGATGCTTCCACCAAAGCAGAGCAACCTTTTCTCCAGTCCCCCCTTACAGTTTTTTCACTGATTTCTAGAAAGTTTAAAGAGTATGCAGCAAAATGTGTGAGGTGGTCCCTCTCAGTTCAATATCATAGTCAATATCAGCCTGTATACTCAAGATTAATTAATATATTCACATCAATTTAATATTCAAATACAAATAAGAGAATTTTAATGTTTTTAGCGAGGGGGGAAATGTAATTAAATCATTTTTATTAATTATTTATATTGATATTTAACTGTAACATCTTTAACCAATAGTTAATTTTAATGTATTTTGAACTGTAAAACTGCTGCTCTTGGCCAACCTGAAAGGTAGCTTCTGGCTCCATTGGAGTTGCCCATTTGTGCTGTAATGTAACTTCAAACTGTTTACTTTTAATTATATGTTTATATAAGACCGGACTCTGCATTCAAAAGGCATGACTTCTGAAACTAGCTTTAGTCTTGGAATTAGGTGCTAGTTAAGCAAACTTAATTTTGGTTGCGCAGTGTTTGAGCTCATCTTTTAAAATTAAACCATCATACATTTTTTTTCTTTTTTGCAGAATTCGCGATAATACACATAAAAGGTTAGATTTAATCAAAACTGTATTTTCCGGTAGAACTCAGTTCAATTTTAGTAATAGACAAGCAAGTGTGATGGAATACTTGCCTGTTCTCCGCACCATCTGCAAGTCAGAGAAGCAGAAAGAACAAGGGAAAACAAAAAGAAGGTAATTTTTCATTTACACTTCCAGGAAAACGTGTATATGATTGTAGTCTTAATGTGTCAAAATGCATTAAATATCATGGCTGGAATTAGTTAAGTGAATGACTTCAGATGTTTTTCATCACCCTACTTCTTTAATCATTAGTTTTGTTTTCTTTTCTAACAGGTTTCTGCATTACCTCGAAGGAATTCATCTTCCCAAAGAAATTTTGAATAGTCTAGCAGCAGACTTTCCTTAATTCTCAATAGTTACTTTGTATATATAAAAATCATTACTGTATATTCAAAGTGTTTGTTTATATTTTGAATTTTTTAAGTATTTAAAAAACAGATTGTATATATCTTCTGTCAAGGTGCTTTTCATATTTCATTAGTGCCAGAATCTTATCTGATGAGTTCAAATACAGTCCAATCTTTGAAACACATCCAGCCTGTTATTTGGACAATTGGACTTTTTTTTAGGAAATGGATTGTGTTATCAAGTTGTTGCCACTAATAAATCTATATATTCATCAATTCTTTTTTAAAACCACATCTCCAATTTCCACCTTTATGTGGTCCTTTCTACAAGAATACTTGAATTGCAAAACTGCTTTAGGGTTTTGTGAATGTGTATACAAACATTTCAGCATGATCAGGCAGCAGAAAGTTCTGCAAGTGCTTCTTTTTAATACGAACAGTACTTTGGAATCTTGTAAGAGTATTTAAATCCAAACCTGTATCTTTTTTACTGTTTTTTATTTCTCCTGCTTTTTTGAGTGTCTCTTGGCCAAGTTAGTTTTTGTATCTGCAATTAAATAATAAATAATGGAATTGATTTTTTCAACTTCTTACAAGGTGACTCTTTTAGGTATGAAAGCATGCTGTTTTATTCTGATGAATTGTTCTGACATCGGGATATGTTACCCATTTAAAGGCAAAAATGTTTACTATATTTCTGGAGTCCAGTCAGAAGGCTTTCCCTTCTGACTTGTAATAATAATAATGATAAAAAAAAAACTTTATTTATATACTGCTCTATCTCCCCAAGGGGGACTCAGGGCAGTTTCCAAGTAACATCACTGAAACATACAAAGTAAACAGCATAACATAATTTCACAAAACAACATAAGCATAAAATTATCGCAACAACACATGTACATTAAAAATAATCCTGCCTATTCAGAGCAATTAAAAAGTCAGGCCAAGGCTAGTGCAAACTCAAAATATGAGGGGCTGGGAATTAAGTACAGTGCTATAACAGGATAATGGCAATAGCAGATATGGGTCTGTGGCTGCTCATTTCCAGGGCCTATTAGAGGGATGACTGAGGTAATAGGTAAGAGTGCAAGGGCATATTCAACACTGGGTTGGACTAGAACTGGTCGTTCTCAAAGGCTTGTTGAAGCCACCTGGTCTTCAGTCTCTTACAAAAGGAGAAGAGGAGCCTGTCTTTTTTCAGTATTGAGGTATTTTGCCTGGTGGCGCATTGGGTTTAAGCGCTGAGCTTGTTGACCAAAAGGTCGCCGGTGCGAATCCAGGGAGCAGCGTAAGCTTCCACTGTCAGCCCCAACTTCTGACAACCTAGCAGTTCAAAAACATACAAATGTGAGTAGATCAATAGGTATCGCTTTGGCGGGAAGGTAATGGTGCTCCATGCAGTCATGCTAGCTACATGACCTTGGAGGTATCTGGACAACGCCAGCTCTTCGGCTTAAAAATGGAGATGAGCAGCTCCTAAAGATATTTTGTCAGTACCACATACTTGTGTAACAACCCATTTCTGAATGTAACAATGTACCTCTAAAATAACCAAAACTTTAAAATGAGGGATGTATTAAGTAAAACAAGCTATCACCCACAACGGCGGGGGAGGGGGGGGGAGAGAATTGCGTGGAAAAAGTCTTCCACACATTTGTTAGATTTCACAAATTGAGGTAGCTAGCTTATTTTGCACTCCATATAATGCTTTGTATTTGAATGTAAAAGGCATTATTTTGTGTTTTTCCGGACGATGCAACTCCATCAGTGTCTTGCTATATTCTTGCACAGAAATCAGCTACACAGTTACTGCAAGCTCCTGCACATATGCAGTTTTTCCAAAAATATATTGTACACTACAAAGATCATATACACCAACACATTTAATGAAATCAAGTAAGAATTAAGCAGTGTCATTCAACAATAAAAGCTCATAAAAGGCTACTGCCTGTAGCAGTGAGTCACATAGCTCCTCATCTCGCCTTTGTTTGTTTGATGACAATATGCTTCTATAATGAACCAATTTGTCTCTTGGAAAGCTCACACGGGGCTCAGCTTGTGTAACAGATTCTGAGAGGAACTGCTTTACAAGATCTATGCCACTTGTTCGGGCATCCCCCACCATTAGGTCAAAGTATTTTCCTACAGCACTTCGAGCCATACTTAGTACTTTGTGCTGGCCATCCTGTGCAAACGTTTTGTGTAGCAATGCATACAGCATAGCTTCCACTGTACGAAGATGTAATGTTACTGGAAATAAATTTGCATTCAGAACAGAAATACCACTTTTTTCTAAAATGTAAAAATCTGCTTCTGGAATCTTCGACACAACAGAAGAAATCTGAAATAAAAATGACAAAGATTTGGTATTAACCCGTCAAAAGTATAACATCACAGATCCTAAAATGGGCTTCAGGAAATATTTTTCTTTCAAACCAGTCAATATCTGCAATTCTGCTGTGCAACATGATTTTGGTTCCTAGGTCATAAATGTAATTTCCTAATTAGTTCTATCATAAAAGCATGGAAAAGTGTATTAAACTGCATAGCGTTAAATAGTTATATATTTGGATTTTTTTTCCCCATCCATAAAATAGGGACTTGATCTAACAGATAGGGAATTTCAGTTTACCACCAAAAGCCAACAAAGTTGATGCATGTAATAAGTTTGAGCTGTTATAAAGTATCTTCCAAATAAAAGGAGAAGACAGTTATGATACAGGAAAGCTTTTCTGCTGGCTAAATAAGGCAAGGCAGTGATTTCCAATTATTCTTCCCACCTATAGACTCCAGAAAACCTCCAGGGGACTGGGGAATCCTTTGAGTAGGATTGATATACCAGTGTTTTACACAGGGAACTGTCAAAAATTGATTCTCCTTTCTACCTGCAGAAGCCTTTTCATCAGGCCTTTGCTCAGAGATTCTCCAACCAATTTAACTAAATTAATCCATTGCCGTCGGGGCGGAGGTGGCTTTTCTGTATCAGCTATCAAAATGCTTTCAGACATTGCTTACATTTCTATTCCAAGAGGCCCGACACACATTCAAAATAAGGCTACCGACACTCTTGAGTCAGAAATTGACAGAAAGTCTCCGATACAAAAACAACAGCTAAAATCCTAGTATTTACAAGAGAATGCAAAGACCTTAATAGGTGGCACACAGTCATGCTATTCCTAGAATGAATACATTGAAAAATGGGCATTGAGACTCGGTGTTGCTTACCTCTTCAAAATACATTGCTGGAATATAAGATCCTTTCATAAATACTGTACATTCTTCTTGCTGCCAGTCCTGAACAGCCAAGTGTCTATTAACATGAGCCCATGCAATTTTGCGGGTGCCGAAAACAATAGAGACAATGCTGTTGGCTGTCTAAAAGAGGAATATAGGAAATGTTTATCATTATCTGCAATATATTTCAGCAGGCAGTAACTAAATGATATGAGGTGGGCAGCAGGGCCATTCCACTAGCCCTGCTGAAACTACTTTTTTAAAATTTATTTTTTATCTTCATCATTTTCTCCCTTTTAATACTGTAAAACTGTAGGCAGGGACAATCTCTTTTTTATGTACTGTACACGAGCCACTGCAGGAGTGTATTTAGCTGAGAAGCAGCATACAAATGGTATGAAATAAACAAAATGTACATTAGACTACACATCTGAGGGAGCTTTTGCATAGTGTTTTTTGAAAACCAACTCATGCAGCAAACAGCAACTCTCTTTTTTACAAACAAGAATACTTTTAAAAGTTGGAGGAAAGGTTACTATAACAGCAAAAATATCCTGCACACATTCAAGCACTTTAATATACCGGTACCTACAATAGCTTTCTGTATTTCCTTTGTTATATGATATTGTACCTAACCATCTCAGATATTAAAAGCCATGTAGTTGAATTCCTTTCATACAGAGACAGAGGTACACCCTACTGAATTCCAAATTGCATGCAATCATGGGTTTAACATTAGTATCAAGATAAATTATTGGGGTTTTTTTAAAGGCAGAACTCTTCCCATTCCACAAAATAGAAACTTACCTCCAATCGCTTTCTTTCTATTTCAGGTTTGATATATTTCATTACAGATATCGGATTGTTCGTTTTTCTCTCTCTCTTTTCTTTTGCAAGGGGATTGAGTATAAAGTCACATACTTTAATGGCTGTTTTATATTGAAAGAGAGGCACTTCTAGTAAACTTTGTAAATCCTGAAATGGCCCATGCTTGTCCCTGTATGCTATTAGATTAGCAGACTTTCTTCCTCGCATGAGTTTCACAGCCGAAAGTTCTTCTTCAGAGGCTGAATTGAGTAGCTGTAAAACAGCAGATTTCTGTTCAGAGGAGTACAAGTCATTGATTTCACATTTTGCTTGCTTCAAACTCTCAGTTTCTGATGTAGAGTCTTGTTGTGTGGCAGATGTTGACTTCTTGTAACACCACAGGAGCCGAGAGGAACCAACTGGAACCTGAAGGAAGCATCTTCGCCCTGCAAGGGAAAAAGGAGTCCATCGCAAGTGAATCATATCCAGCATCAGTAACTAAGGGCCCTTCTGCACAGCCATATAATCCAGAATAATAAGGCAGATAATCCACAATATTTGCTTTGAACTGGGTTATCTGAGGCCACACTGCAATATAATCCAGTTCAATGTGAATTTTATATAGCTCTGTGGAAGGGACCAGAATTAGCTCAAGCAGCCACTGGCCTTCAAATTAAAACACACCATAAAAGGTATATCTAAAAAGGCTTCCCTGTCTGGAACTTCTATAAATTCCTTTCCAAGTCCTCCCAAATAGTAATTATCTTTTTAATTCACAGTAACTGTTCTTTCAACAGGCAGGAAGCAGTCCTTGCAGATTAACTTCTTTCTCAACCCACTAATGTGATGATGAAGAAAGGAATGTATCCTGAACCGTGTACCATACAACTACTTAAATGTACAAACAAGAAGTCTTCGGCACCTCAGAGGAAATATGCATGATATCAAACAATAAGAGTAGATAACATGCAGCCATTTCCTTTAGCCATGCTTCAGTCTGAAAGGAGGTTTAGGGATGTTGATCTAGGAGGAAAACCCTGTGCAGAGCTACATGAGAATGACAATTTTAAATTGATGCTGTAAAGCAGGGGCAGGAGTCATGTAACGTTCTAGTTGGACTAGAAGTCCCCAAAGGCCTAGCCTATATACACCATGGTGAGGAAGGTTGAGAGCTTCAACCCAAAAGCTAGAGGGGGCCTTGATTTCTAACTACTTTCAAGATCTCTTGCCCAAGTTAGGATGTGTCCTGCTTCTCAGGGCCCTTCCACACAGCCCTATATCCCAGAATATCAAGGCAGTAAATCCTACATTATCTGAGTGTGGACTCAAGTAGCCCAGTTCAAAGCAGATATTGTGGGATTTTCTGCCTTGATATTCTGGGATATAGGGCTGTGTGGAAGGGCCCTGACAGGTTCCTTCCACACAGCTGTATAAAATCCTACATTATCTGCTTTGAACTGGGTTATGTRGCTATGTGGACTCAGATAACCTAGTTCAAAGCAGATATTACGGAATTTTTTGCCTTGATATTCTGGGTTATATGGCTGTGTGGAAGGGCTCTGCGTTATCTGAGCCCACAGGCTCCCCCTAGCGGCCTCTTGGGATTATAATCCAGTTCAAAGCAGATAATGTGGGATTTTATTCAGCTGTGTGGAAGCGGCCTGAGACAAATTGTGCTGGTGCCTCACCAAGCTATAAAATCCCAGGATACTACAGCATTGAGCCACAGCAGTTCAAGTGGGATCAAACTGCATGAATTTTACAGAGTAGACGCACCCAGATTGACTCTGTTGGCTCCACCATGAATGAAAACACAAAGAAGCAATCTGTATCAACTCAATTCTAGCAATAACTGCTATGAAAAATTTAAGTGGGAAAAAGTGCAGCATCTGAGGGCCCTTCCAGACAGCCATATAACCCAGAATATCAAGGCAGAAAATCCCACAATATCTGCTTTGAACTGGGTTAACTGAGTCTACACTGCCATATATTGCAGTTCAAAACAGATAATGTAGGATTTCATTCAACTGTGTGGAAGGAGTGTGAGGGCCCTTTCATACAGCCCCATATCCCAGACTATCAAGGCAGAAAATCCCATATTATCTGAGTGTGGACTCAGATAACCCAGATTCAAAGCAGATATTGTGGGATTTTCTGCCTTGATATTCTGGGATATAGGGCTGTGTGGAAGGGTCCTGACAGGTTCCTTCCACACAGCTGTATAAAATCCCACATTATCTGCTTTGAACTTGGTTATATGGCTGTGTGGACTCAGATAGCCCAGTACAAAGCAGATATTGTGGATTATCTGCCTTGATATTCTGAGTTATATGGCTATGTGCCAAAAAAAAACCTCAGCTAAGAGACAACCTCATCTTGAGACTGAGGGCCCTTCCACACAGCCCTATATCCCAGAATATCAAGGCAGAAAATCCCACGTTATCTCAGTGTGGACTCTGATAGCCCAGTTCAAAGAAGATATGGTGGGATTTTCTGTCTTGGTATTATGGGATATAGGGCTGTGTGGAAGGTCCTGAGTTTGTATTACTGAACTATCCACTCCTCACTGCAGCCCCTTTCCCTCCCAGCACAGTCTCTCCCTACCTGTCCGGAGAAGGCCGTAGAGTCCTTTCATCTTCCACCTTTTCCCAGGCTGTGTCACACTTTTTTGGGGTCCCCCAGACCTGCTCCGTGTCACAGCGAAATCCTTCCCCGAGGCGCAAAGCTGCTGCGATTGGTTCCGGCGGAATAGTGAGGGCTCCCCCTAGCGGCCTCTTGGGAATGGAAAGCTCAGCCTCCTCAGCTGAAACTCTTTTTTGTGTGTTTGTTGCTTAATGTTCCGAAGGATAAAAGAAACTGAAAGTCCACCGCAGAGCTTGCCTCCTGGGGCCATGGCGGATGCGGCTGCTCTCCACCTGGATAAGAACTTGCAGGATGAGTTGACTTGTTGCCTTTGCTTGGACTTCTTCAGGAGCCCAGTGCTGATCCCCAGGTGTTCGCACAGCTTCTGCAGGGAATGCATCTCTCAACACTGCCAGAAGATGACAGGCAAGGCCTCCTGCCCCGAGTGCAGGGGGAAGCTCCACCCCAGGGACTTGGTGGACAACCGGTCCCTTGCCAACATCGTGGAGATCGTCCAGCAGATGAAGAAGGCCCCAAGGATATGGTCAAGAAAGGCCAGCTATGGCCAGGAAGGGATGGCCCCCACCTTGAGAGAAGGCCAAGGAAGCAATGGATCAGCTGGGCTTCTCTGCCAGCTCAAGGTGGGTGCCTTCTTGATCAACAAAACGTGAAAAAAAATTATGTTCCTGGTTTGAAAGTGTTATTTCCTGTTTAATTGTCCAGTACTGTCTTTGAAAGTAATCATTATGCCCCAGAAACTTTGTTTTTGTGGCTGCCACAAACTATATTGAATTGGTTGAGACTCCATGAGATATTCGTTGACAAACTATGGCAAAGTGTTCTGCAGGATGTCCCGCAAAAATAAAGCTTTTGCACTTTAATAAACTTTGTCCATGTTTATAGAACCAATTAGGAAGTGACTCTTATTAGAACCAATTAGGAAGTGACATTTATAACCCAGGAACAAAAATAGTGTTACAAATTGCCAATATCCACTTGATAATGGAGGATAGTTATCCACGGGATAAAGGAGGAAGGCAGGGAGTTTCAGAAAGACGTCTATTTCTGTTTTATTCACTATTCTAAAGCCTTTGACTGTGTGGATCATAATAAATTGTGGCAAGTTCTTGGTAGTATGGGGAAACCAAGTTACCTTGTCTCTCTCCTGAGGAATCTGTATAAGGACCAAGTAGCAACAGTAAGAGCAGTAATACAGAGTAACCAAAATATAAAATTATTAACACAAACATATACCTTGTCTCTCTCCTGAGGAATCTGTATAAGGACCAAGTAGCAACAGTACGAACAGACCACAGAATAGCAGACTGGTTCAAGATTGGAAAAGGCGTACAGCAGGGTTGTATACTCTCACCCAACCGATTCAACTTGTATGCAGAACACATCATGCGACATGCAGGGCTTGACAAATCCAAGGCTGGGGTTAAAATTGCTGGAAGAAATATTAACAACCGTAGATATGGTAGTACACACTCTGGTTACATCCCGTATAGACTACTGCAATGCGCTCTACATGGGGTTGCCTTTGAAGACAGTCTGGAAGCTTCAATTAGTCCAATGAACGGAAGCCAGATTGCTAACAGGAGCAGCTCTCAGGGAGCATACAACCCCCCTGTTGCGTCAGCTCCACTGGTTGCCGGTTTGCTACCGGGCCCAATTCAAAGTGCTGGCCTTGGCTTATAAAGCCCTAAACGGTTCTGGCCCAGCTTACCTGTCCGAACGTATCTCCCCTTATGAACCATCAAGGACCTTGAGATCGTCCAGGGAGGCACTGCTCTCAGTCCCGCCTTCGTCTCAGGTACATTTGGCAAGGATGAGAGATAGGGCCTTCTAAGCGGTGGCCCCCCAGCTATGGAACACCCTCCCTAGAGAGATTAGATCTGCTCCCTCCCTCCTCATGTTTCGGAAGCAAGTCAAAACATGGCTGTTTGAGCAAGCATTCTCAAACACAGAGTAACAGATATGGATAAATGATATAGGAAATGGACAATTGACGATGGAACTGGACAATGCTTGACAATAAGGAGACGCTAATGATGTTGTTTTTATTGCTGTTGTGGTTTATATAATTGTAATGTTTTAAATTTTCTCTATGATACTGTGTATATTGTTTTGTTGGAAACCGCCTTGAGTCGCCGATAGGCTGAGAAAGGCGGTATACAAATACAGTAAATAAATAAATAAATAAATAAATAAATGTGCAGATGGTACCACTTTGATGGCCAAAAGCTAGGAGGAGCTGAGGGGCCTTCTAACCAAGGTGAAAGAAGAAAGTGAAAAAGCTGGGTTTTAGTTAAACTTTGAAAAAACCAAGATTATGGCAGCCAGACTGATTGATAACTGGTAAATAAATAGAGGAAGAAAATGTGGAGGCAGTGACAGGCTTTGTATTTCTAGGTGCAAAGATTACTGCAGACGCAGACTGCAGCCAGGAAATCCGTAGACATTTACTTCTTGGGAGGAGAGCAATGGTCAATCTTGATAAAATAGTGAAGAGTAGAGACATCACACTGGCAGCAAAGATCCACATAATTAAAGCAATGGTATTCCTATGGATACAAGAGCTGGACTCTAAGGAAGGCTGAGTGAAGGAAGATAGATACTTTTGAACTGTGGTGCTGGAGGAAAAGTCGGAGAGCGCCTTGGACCACAAGAAGATCAAACCAGTCCATACTCCAGGAAATAAAGCCCGACTTCTCACTGGAGGGAAGAATATTAGAGGCCAAGATGAAGTACATTAATGCTTTTCCAGGAAACGGAATCCAATAGTACCTACATCAGTACAGGACTTCGTCCTTCATTTCAAATACCACATGTGTTAAACTTACACGACTCATAAAACACAACATGCAATCTTTCATATTTACATCTTCTACACATTACTTGACTGTAATTGTATACAACACTTTTAATAATGTGCATGAAATCAGGTTTGTGTATTGAGCCATGTGGTGCTGTATTTTATGTAGTTTAATAGAGTTTGAATGATTTTATTGATTTTAACTATGTATTTTAGTAATTAAATAATATTTAAATATTTTATTCTAACTTAATGTTTATATGCTTTAAGTTTTAATTTGTACATTGTATGATTTTTAGTGTTAGCTGCTTTGAGTCCCTTTTGAGAAAGGAACAGCTGGCTATAAATACCAATATTACTGTTAATAATAATACTTGAACCATCAGAAAGCAAACGTGTTGCTATCTCCACCATCCATTGACAGTAGAAAACCATCCAGTAAATATTTTTGATATTTCGGAGTTAAAGGGTTAATATAATGTTTTTTCTTCCTTTTCCACCCTTCAGGATACAGTGAAACTAAACGAACTCACCCAAGAAATAGAAAAGACCCTTGAAGCAATTGCCAGCTGGAATAAAGATAGTGCTGAAATGATGGTTGGTACAAAGACGAGTTAGTATGAAAAACTTGATAATAATAAGAAAAGTAATAATGTTATTTCTTGTCTCCCTCTCCCCGTGGATTTCTTTTTTCTACTCACTTCAGGATTGTATGGAAATTTTTTATGCAGAAGATGCTCCTTTTTAGTCAGACTGCTTCCCTTCTTGGCTTCTTAGGTCCCGGCACCAGGGAGAATACCTAAACCTAGTTACAGCTCATGCATTGACATTTGGAGCATTACAAGAGGTTCTGCACCCTCTTGTGGGTGCATTAGTAATTTAGTAGGGTCAATAGGACGAAATTGTTCTGTAGGATCAAATTATACAGCGGTGCTTAGATGGTCCTCATATTGGTCAGAAATCATGTAGTAATCAATAAAAAGTCACAAACCACAGGTTCCTTACTCCTAGTTTTAGCCTTCCCTTCCAATGTGCAATGACCCTGACTCAATTATATTTACCCATATGCTTACTCTGAAGCAAAATAATAATAATCAAGGCTTATGTGCACACTATATATTTTAACACAGTGTGTGGTTTTAACCAGCAGATCCCTCCTGATCAACTTTGTGTGATCTATCTATCTATCTATCTATCTATCTATCTATCTCTACTTCCTCCTAATCTGCTGCTCTGCTTTGTTGGGCAGCAGTTCCTATCCCGACTCGCTGGCATAACTAGTGATAAGGAACGATGGGAACTTTCATCTCTCTTATGATAGCTGAAATAACAGAGCTGAATAAAAGAGTTGTAGGATTGGTATGTTTTAATTTTAAATGAACAGATGTTCCTAGAAGCAATATAGTTTTGTTCCAAAAATAATTTCTGAAAGTTAAATTATAAGGGTCTAGTCAAGAAGTTTTTAAGATTTGTAGTATTCCATTCAAGAGGAAATGATCTGAATATTTTTTTCCAAATAAGTCTTTAAGCAGCATCTCTTTCTGTCTCTTGATTGTAGGATTATGTATCTCTTGTCAAGAGTTCAATAGTAGAAGCCTTCAACTTTGTGAAGACATATATCAACGACCAAGAAAGAATGGTGCTGAATGTTTTTGAGAAAGAATATGTTGCAGCTCAGCAAAAAAGAGACACAATGAATGAACAGCTCAATGTCAGAATTGACCAGCTTCTTGTTTTGCAAAAAGATATGATGGAGGTAAAACAAACAAACAAACAGATATATAGAAGTGGCATTAATAATGCAGTCTTAAATACACTTTCCATGTGAGTAGAATACTCTGAACAAACTAGAACTTGCTTCAGATCAAATAAGCATAAGATTAGGCTTGTAGCCATCCAGTACATGTTGATTCAAAAGTAAGTTCTATTGATTTCTACGGTGCTTATTCATGGGTATGCCAGCTAAGAGGCTAGAAGTGTCAGGTTTATAGGAAGTCATGTATGAGATTTGTACCTTGATTCTTTTGTTTTCCTTAAGTGAGCTCAAAATACATAAAATGGTTTGCAGATCATAGTAATGAGAGATAGCACCTCCTACCTCCAAAAATATTGGAAATTTAGATCCAGATTCTACAGCTAATTGCCATAGCTGCTAAGATTTATTGCTCAAATGTTATAATGGTACGTGTTTTGTTATGGAGCTTCTTTCTAAGAGAACTATCAGGTTTGGTGAAGCTCAAAACATAGTTTTGCTCTACCACTCTTATGAAATTATTTTAAGCTTTGGCTTCTAATTTTTGACACTTTTCACGATTTTAAAAAATTGTGATTTTTTAATTATGTTTTGATTTCTCATATTAAAGGATACCCTTAGAAATATGAATTTTCCATGAGCTTGACTGGGGTTTGACAACAGCAGTCTGTGAGAATAAATATGTGGGGTGAAACTGGAAGGTTTCAAAAATTTAATTTATTTAATTGGAGCCCCTGAATTAAAATGCCTTATTTGCTTTATGTATGTCTATCTAGCACAATACTTCAAATCCATAAGTGTCTAATTACACAGTCATTACAGATACTGATGGAAATTTTGTTGTTTCTTCTATTGTTTTTTTATTGTAATTAGAACACCTTGTTGGAAGAAAAAGTTACCATTGGTGATCCTATCAAAGTGAATGAAGTTACTGTTTCTGTTCAGAAAATTAATAACATTGCATGCACTGTAGAAGAGTTCAAAAGAAATCTGGAAAAGTTAGTTGTGGGGAATAATAACCCAGTACGGCCAAATGGTGAGTAAGATTTCAATTTTTATCTTAAGTAGTAGTCATTAGGAATGGGCTGTTCTGTTACAAAGCCGAATCTTATACATTACAGAGACTTTGGTCTTGCAGTCCACAGGAAGTTGTTCTAGGGGCATATCTTTACTGGAGATGGTAGTGGAAGGAGAAAGAAAGGGGGGGGGGGGAAGGGAAAAGGGAGGGAATAGATAGATCCTCTCCTAAGGGGCAAAATCCACAATGGAGATACTTTTATTGCACCAACTAAAAAGCACCAAGTACATCATGCAGGCATTTGAAGCATCACTAGCTTCATCAGGCAAAGATATTAAAAATCACACAGGAGAAAAAAAGTGACAGTGTTAGAGTCACAGGCCTTTATTTTGGTTGCAGACTAGAACCATTGATAGATTATCCTAGGGAGAGTTGCACATCAGGTGCTATCCAAACAAGCGCCCTGCCTCAATGAATAACCAAATGTGCCTCTTTTTGCTACAGAATATATGCCAGGAACAAGCCAGAGCCAAATGGACATAGCAGAGGATGAGGCAGCCACCACGAGTGGTTCCTGTAAGTAATTTATTTAGTGAAGTTTTTACAGGCCTCTGCTGTTCTCATGTGTGAGCAGAAGTTTTACAACATTAAGCATCTAGATAAAATTTATGGGCTGGGGATCAATAAAAAATGGGGAAATGTGTTCTGAGGAAAATTTTCCAAGTCTTCTTCAGTTTTAGGATGCAGTTTCAAGGAGACTTCAAAAGAGAGAGACTGAGAGAGAAGAACACCTAATCTAAGCTACTAAGTTTTCAGGCAAATATGTGTGATCATTGGGTGAATCTGTATTTGCAAAAACCACAGTAGCTCTGTGAATTAACTTTTACCATTTTGTTTTAAGTTTACTTTCATACACATATTCTAATTTATATAGCAAGCAAAAAAGAGGGCAGAAGAGCAAGTACAAAAAACCTGATCTCTAAAGAGCTTCTAAACCAAGATGTAAAGTGCCTTGTAGTCAGTAGAAAAATTGATGCTTGACATGCAGAACATCCTAGATTAAATTCCTAGCATCTTGAGATCCACCTGCAAAGGTATCTGTCTGTTATCCCCGAGAGACATTGCCAGTCAAGCTACACCAGATACAGATGGTTCTTGTGGTTTTTTCGGGCTATATGGCCATGTTCTAGAGGCATTTTCTCCTGACGTTTCGCCTGCATCTATCGCAAGCATCCTCAGAGGTAGTGAGGTCTGTTGGAATAGGAAAATGGGTTTATATATCTGTGGAATGGCTGGGGTGGGGCAAGGAGCTCTTCCCTGCTGCAGCTAGGTGTGAATGTTTCAGCTGATCACCTTCATTAGCATTTGAAGGCTTGCCTGAGCCTGGGAAAATCTCTTGCTGGGAGGTGTTAATCTGTGCCTGGTTGTTTCCTCTCTGTTGTTTTGCTGTTGTAATTTTAGAGTTTTTTAATACTGGTAGTCAGATTTTGTTCATTTTCATGGTCTCTTCCTTTCTGTTGAAATTGTCCACATGCTTGTGGATTTCAATGGCTTCTCTGTGTAGTCTGACATGGTGGTTGTTGGTATGGTCCAGCATTTCTGTGTTCTCAAATAATATGCTGTGTCCAGGCTGGTTCAACAGGTGCTCTGCTGTTGTCCTCAGTGCCTCCAACCCTGGTAAATTCACTCATCTCAGTGTAATCCACACCCTGACTGTTCTAGCCAGAAAAAAGTAATGTCCAGTAACTTCCTGTTTTTTTAAAAGTTCTGGTTAAAAGCAAGCCCAGGGGATATTCCCCCTAAATGGCGAGTCACAGTATTTCTGGAGAACATCTTACAATGTGAGAATCGTGTCCTGTGAGGCCTATTGCAATGAGTAGCTCAAATGTTAGACCGTTTTAAAGCCCCCCCCCCCATTTTTCCCAGTAAAGGTCATACTTTAAATAGATATCTGCTGCTATGCACTTTAAGAAATAGCACAGCCTTGGAAAGGGCTTCTGGGGTGAAAATATGGTATATGTTATTAGCTGATAGGATCCCTCTGTTTTATGTTCAGAATTTTTTCCTTGCTTTCCACTGAATTAAAAAATAACAAGGCAGCTCTCTTTTGCTTCATTAGCACAGAGCCAAAATTCACTTCCGGGATCTGTCTGCTGTTCTCCTGTAATGCCTACAGACAAACCACTGCCAATTGTTTCAAGTCAGTTTTCTCAATGTAAGTATATACAAGATGGTGCAAGATTGTGTGGATAATATGTTCATCACTTTACTTTCAAGAAAAAAAATCAGACATTGAACTGTTATCACACAAGCTCTAAATGAGCCCTCTCTCTGCAACGGATCAGTCAATTTATGTGAAATTTAAGAGTAAATCCTTTATTTTGAATAGAAGACTTTCTTTTTGAAAATCTGTCACGTACAGTGTTACCTAACTTATACAAATGGCCATTTATTTTCATAGCTTGTCTCCATGGATACATTTGATAGATTGCGAGGGTATTTTTAAACTTTTAAAATTATACGGGATTTCCCAGCTTTAATAATAATAATAATAATAATAATAATAATAATAATAATAATAATAATATACTTTATTAAATAATAATAATAATAATACACTTTATTAAAGCACAGTATGTCACAGCAAACGAAATCCAGCATATAGATCTCATTTGCTGTGACATACTGTGCTTTTGTGTCAGTAAAATAATAATAATAATACTCTTTATTTATATTCCGCTCTTTTCCCCTAGGGGACTCACAGCATTTACATACATAGGCAAACATTCAATGCCTTTACAATCATATACAGTGGGACTGACAAACAGAAACAATGGCTGAGGCCTCTCTTTTCATTTCCGGCTTCTGAAGGTGGTCCTTTCGCAGGCTCTGGGGAGGTGTTTTTTTCTCCATTTTAAAGCCGATGAGCCTGCGTTGTTACCTTGGAGCGTCTCTTTGCCTTTCCCTGCCAAAGCAGTGCCTGTTTATCTACTCACATTTGCATGTTTTTGAACTGCTAGGATTGGCAGGAGCTGGAGCTTATGGGAGCATCCCATATTGCGGATTCAAAATGCCAACCTTCAGGTCAGCAGTTCAGTGGCACAAGGGTTTAACCCACTGCACCACCGCATCCACTTTTTGTTTGAGTATTCATAAATGGACTTTCGTAAACAGATACCATGATAAATCTTGATTTCTAACTCTTCCTGGTTGAGAACATTTCCATTTTCTTCATACAGGGGCAGCTGATGTGGCTTTTGATCTCCAGAGAATCAATACCAGACTAGAACTTTCAGAGGATAGAAGGATGGTGATGGTTTCCCGTTTCCCTCCAAACTACGAACCTTCTGCAAAGAGATTCCGCATCAGCCAGGTGATGGGATCCCCAGGATTTTCAGAAAGGTGCCATTATTGGGAAGTCAGCACCAGAGACGCTACTGGATGGGCCATTGGTCTTGCCCATGAAGAAATTGGGAGCAACGACAAACTGGGGAGAACGGGGCTGTCCTGGTGCATAGAATGGTCCAATAAGCGGCTCTCAGCATGGCATGGGAACCGAGAGACACACATTTGCCAAGAGAAACCTCTGCAGGTTGGAGTTTTCCTTGACATTCCAAGAAGCTGTGCATCCTTTTACTCTCTCACACATGAGGAAACTTGCTTACACACTTTTGAAATCAATGTGGCAAGGACTGTCTACCCTGCTTTTTGGATATTTGGTGTGGATGTAGGTGGATCCTTAACTATAAACAATATCAGACAGTGTTGAGACAGAATGGCTGTTTTCACACATGCTCCTTCTACCCTAAGTAATCTTTCCCTACTGCAAGCAACAGTTCCCTTAAAGAAGGTGACTTAAACCATCTTAATTAAGGCTGGAATTGTTGGGATGCCTATTTTACCCTGAAAATTAATACACTCTGTACAATACAAAATATACAATAGATTTAAATACTTTACCAATGTTTACATTTGTCAGAATCTTACATTTCCAAGTACTGAAAAGCTGTTTAAAATCTGAATACAAGTTAATTTAGGAAATCAGTAATAATGTTGGCAAGAACAACAATTTCATATAGGTTTTTTTTCATTCTTCTACGGTAAAAAATAACGTTCTTGAAATCAGGGTCTACTCAGGCATGGGCAAACTTTAGCTGGGAGTTGAAGTCCAGAACACCCGAGGGGCAAAGTTTTTCCATGGCTGGCTGATAATACAATCATCAAAATTTCTCATATTGCTCAGCATTCCAAACTATTTTGACAGTGACAAGCAAGGTCACTCCAACTCTATCGTGAAGTAAAGAGATCTCTTTTATTAGTAGTTAAAAGTCAACAGTTCATCCAGAACTTCCCATATGACCTCACATTTTATTTTCTTGGTTATAATAAATAAGAGTCTTCAGCCACACAAGTCTTACTGTAGGGAGCCAATCATATATCTGTCATTCCATAACAATATCACTAAAAGGAAATAGGGTCTTTTGAAAGACATCAACTTGAAGGTGGGCTTGGATGCTACATTTTAGACCACATTGACCTTAAATAGTCTGGCCAATGGCCATAGCTGTAGTTCAATACTCACCAGGCCGCAGGTTCCCCACCTAAGGGATTTTAGAATAAGTTGATTTTTTTTTTCAAAATTCTGTATGCTGAATTATTTAGTGAAGATATACTCTGTAAATGGAGCCCCCGGTGGCACAGTGGGTTAAACCACTGAGCTGCTGAACTTGCTGACTGAAGGTTGGTGGTTTGAATCTGGGGAGCTCCTACTGTTAGCCCCAACTTCTGCCAACGTAGCAGTTCAAAAACATGCAAATGTGAGTAGATCAATAGGTACTGCTTTGGCGGGAAGTTAACGGTGCTCGATGCAGTCATGCTGGTCACATGATCTTGGAGGTGTCTACAGACAACACCTGTTCTTTGGCTTAGAAATGGAGATGAGTCGGACACGGCTAGACTTAATGTCAAGGGGAAACCTTTACCTTTATTATACTTGGCAAGCATGCATTAAGTATCCAGTTAAAATATATTTCCATATTCTATGCCTAGCTTTTATGCTTTGCTGTTACATCTGGGGCAGAAATCGTGGTGTCCTCCTAGTGTTATTCAACTGCACATCCCAGTAGTCTTGCCCAGTATAGTCAATGGTGAGAAATGCTGGGATCTGTTATCTAACAACAAATGGAGGGGCACATGAGTTCCATCTGTTCTGAAGAAGTGCACTCAATCTATAGAATCAATACAGTTTGACACCACTGTAACTACCATGTCTCAATGCTATGGAATCATGAGAGTTGTAAAATCAAGAACTTTGGCCTTTTCTTTTCTAAAAGTGCTACATTTCCGAAGATTTCATAGCATTGAGCCATGGCCATTACAGCGGTGTCAAACTGCATTAATTCTACAGTGAAGATGCACCCAAGGTGGTGTTTTATAGTCTCTGATGCTGTTTTTTATACCAAGAGCTATAACTCTTTTCTTTAGAAATGGAAAAATATACTGATACATTATTGAGGTTTATGAGGTTTGTGTCTATGTGCTGTCAAGTTGCCTATAAGTTTCGTGGGTTTTTCTTAAGCCAATATTCCTTGGTGCCATTCTCCCACTGCAAATTTTAGCCTGCAGCACTTGGAATTTCTTGGTGGTCTCCTATCAAACAAAGTACCAATCCCAATTGACCCTTATGTTCCAAGATCAAATGTGATCTGGTACCTTCAACATATTTAGTTGTGAATTACTTGACTTTATATGCAGTATTACAGCTGCAATCAGTATTAGACCTCAGGTATGCTGAAAAATAGTAAGACCTTTGAAGGTTTCAGAGATCTTCTGAAGTGATAAATAAAAGTGTGGAATGTGGGTCAGGACTGAGTAAATGAATTTTTGCTTCAGCATGTTTACACTGCTTTTGTCCTGTTTCTGTCATAAGTGATTTTAAAGCAGCCGGCTAACACAAAGTCTTTTGCAAATTCCATCAATAAAACTGCTTTATTTTTTCTTTGTGTCTTTATTCAATATATCTGTCTTATGCAGCAATATGACCTAATATAGTTGATAAGTCCCATACCTGGGCAACTCAGCTTGCTCACCCTAAATATTGCAATGTTTATATGTTCCATTTCTTGATTTAAGATGTCTAGCTTCCACTGATTCATGCTTCTTGATGGCCGATATTAACCTTGTATGCCCATATATTGTTGGACTCCAGCTTCCAAAACAGCTATCACAGCTGATGCTGCCCAGTTATGACATTTGACATAAAATGCAAATATCAGTAAACCTAACAAAAGAGTGCATATAAGGAGGTCTCTGCTTCTCAGTGGATAGTAAGTAACAGAGCTCTCAGGTGACTGATGGTCAATCTGTGGACTGGCAGAGCGAATCAAGAAACAAAACTGTAGTGAGGTCCTTATGTTTGTGTTTATGTTTTTATAGGAATACACAGTGGAATTAATATAGCTAGAGACCACCTTAACTGCAATGGAGTTGTCATTTCACAAGGCCTTTAACTCCTCTGCCTCGCCCAACTACAGATCCCATGCTTCTATAGCACTGAGCCTGGGCAGCTAAAGTAGTGTCAAACAACAGCATCCTTACTTAGGTGAGCCCTCATTGTCTGACTATGATAGTCTTCCAGGATTAGTGTACTGGCGCTAAGTAGGTGACTGTGGAGCCCTATTCTTGATCTGCATCTTCTCCCACAGTGAGGGCATTGGTTTCCAGGAGGAAGGTGTTCTTGGTCAGGGTTGGCTTGACGTGCCTTACTCTTGGCACGTTTCTCTCTTTCACCCTCCATTCGTGCCTCTTCAAATTCTACAGCACTGCTGGTCACAGCTGACCTCCAAATRGAGCGCTCAAGGGCCAGGGCTTTGCGTCTTCTGCTGGAACAACAAGGAAGCCGTGGCRCTCTACACCACGCACATCCTGACACTGACACAGTTCTCAGTGTCTATGCAAGAGWTTTTAAGGTTGGCTTTGAGCCCATCTTCAAATCTCTTTTCCTGGCCACCAACATTCCATTTTCCATTCTTGAGTTCGGAGTAGTAGAGCAACTGCTTTGGGAGAYGGTGGTCRGGCATCCGGACAACGTGGCCGGTCCAGCAGAGTTGATGGCGGAGGATCATCACTTCAGTGCTGGTGGTCTTTGCTTCTTCCAGCACTCTGACATTTGTCCGCTTGTCTTCCCAAGAGATTTGCAGGATTTTCCGGAGACAACGCTGATGGAATYGTTCCAGGAGTTGCATGTGACGTCTTTAGACTGTCCACGTCTCGCARGCGTATAGCAGGGTTGGAAGAACAATAGCTTTATAGACAAGCACCTTGGTATCCCTACGGATGTCCCGATCCTCAAACACTCTCTGCTTCATTCGGGAAAATGCTGTACTTGCAGAGCTCAGGTGGTGTATTTCGGTGTCAATGTTGACTTTTATGGCGAAGTGGCTGCCAAGGTAGCGGAAATGGTCAACATTTAAAATGTTACACCATTAAGTTGTATTTCTGGCATTGGAGAGGGATTGGCTGGTGACTGCTGGAAGAGCACTTTGGTTTTCTCAATGTTCAATAACAGGCCAAGCTTCTCGTCTGCTTCTGCGAAGGTGTTTAGAGTGGCTTCCATTCTAACAAGGGCATCCATTCTGACAGTGGGAGACATGGGAGGAGCAGGCTTCCTGTAGAACTCGGAATATCAGTCCGCGCGCCGTCCGCCTCGCTAGCGGGCGCCACTTTCCCCATAGAGCGGTGGAGGGATAGATAAGCCGGCAGGGAAGGCTCCGGAAGTTCCCGTCGAGCGGGTTGAGTCTATCCGCTCCTGTCTCTGTGGTCGGGGCCGGGAAAGGTTGGAGGGCGGGCAGGCGGGCGCGCGGGCGGGGGTGCTGTTGGAGGCGGCGGCGCGCGCGAGCGAGCGAGCGAGCGAGGCTGCAGGCCCAGGCGGCTCCCCTCCTTCCTGATGTGAAGCCATGAAGAAGGACGTGAGGATCCTGCTGGTGGGCGAACGTGAGTGCACAGAAGGAAGGTCAAGGGGGAGGAAGAGGAGGAGGAGGCGAAGGAGCGCGGGGTCTCTCAGCAGGAGGAGGGGCCGTGTGAAGGGAAGTAGGGGACTCTACACGTGTTTGGTGTTTTTGAACTGAGGGCGGCCTGAGGTGCTGGGCACGTGTTTGGTGTTTTGAAAGGAGGGCAGGGTCATCAAGGAGGGGACCCATGTGGCGGAGGCAAGTTCTGGGAGAAGCAAGAAGGGAGTAGGCCTGGCAGGGAAAGGGAGCAATCGCGGGGTGTGAAGCTGAGGCGCCCCAGGCAGAACAACCCACAATATCTGCTTTGAACTGGGTTATCTGAGTCCACACTGCCATGTATCCCAGTTCAAAGCAGATAATGTGGGATTTTATTCTGCTGTGTAGAAGGGGCCTCAGTCAGCCTGGAGAGGCTGGAACTTGAGGAAGAAAAGGGGGGCTCCTACGTCATAAAACAGGCATGGGCAAATTTCGGCCCTCCAGGAATTTTGGACACCCAACTCCCGCAATTCCTACCAGCTGATGGGCAGTTTGGAATTTTGGGAGTTGAAGTCCAAAACACATGGAGGGCCAAAGTTTGGCCGTGCCTGCCATAGAATGAATGCAGTTCAACATTACCTTACTTTTTACTTTTTTGTGTTTTTAACCATGTAATTTATTGTGTATATTTTATCTTATGTTAATACATTTTTTATTTTGTTGTACACCTCGAGCCATTAGGAGAGGCCGATAATATAATTTATTATTATTATTATTATTATTATTATTATTATTATTCATTTGGTAATGCACCAGCACTCTTTGGCAGCTAAAGGCCTTGTGAAGTTATCACCCATATTTATTTATCATGTCAGGAGTGAACCAAAACAGTTATATTGCATAAACAAACAAACAAACAAAACACAAAGTTTGCAGGCTTGGTAATCTATTAAATGTCCTTTGACCAGTATCTGGCCACTTGGAATGCCTCTGGTGTTTCTGCAAGAAGGTCCTCCATTGTGCATGTAGCAGGGCTCAGGTTGCATTGCAGTAGGTGGTCTGTGGTTTGCACTTCTCCACACTCAGATGTCATGGATTCCACTTTGTAGCCCAATTTCTTAAGGTTGGCTCTGCATCTCATGATGCCAGAGCGCAGTCTGTTCAGTGCCTTCCAAGTTGCCCAGTCTTATGTGTGCCCAGGGGGGAGTCTCTTATTTGGTATTAGCCATTGATTGAGGTTCTGGGTTTGAGCCTGCCACTTTTGGACTCTCACTTGCTGAGGTGTTCCAGCGAGTGTCTCTGTAGATCTTAGAAAACTATTTCTTGATTTAAGTCATTGACATGCTGGCTGATACCCAAACGGGGTTGGTCGGAGATGTCACTGCCTTGGTCCTTTCACTATTGGTTGACGGATGTCAGGTGGTGCAATACTGGCTAAACAGTGTAATTTCTCCAGTGGTGTAGGGTGCAGACACCCCGTGATAATGTGGCATGTCTCATTAAGAGCCACATCCTCTGTTTTAGCGTGGTGAGATGTGTTCCACACTGGGCATGCATACTCAGCAGCAGAGTAGCACAGCGCAAGGGCAGATGTCACCCATTATTCCATAGCATTCAGCCATGGTAGGTAAAGTGGGATCAAACTACATTCATTCTACAAACTCAGGGCCCTTCCACACAGCTGAATAAAATCCCACATTATCTGCTTTGAATTGGAATATATGGCAGTTTGGACTCAGATAACCCAGGGCTCTTCCACACAGCCATATAACCCAGAACATCAAGGCAGAAAATCCCATAAAATCTGCTTTGTACTGGGTTATCTGGGTCCACACTGCTATGTATTTCAGTTCAAAGCAGATAATGTGGGAATTTCTTCCACTGTGTGTCAGGGGTCTAAGTTATTCTTTGACAAAGTGCTGTGACAGTTCTTTGACAAAGATGATGCAGGGGATTGCTGTGGGTTTTCCAGGCTGTATGGCCATGTTCCATAAGCATTCTCTCCTGATTTTTTGCCCACATCTATGGCAGGCATCCTCTGAGGTTGTGAAGTCTGTTGGAAACTGGCAAGTGAGGTTTATCCATCTGTGGAATGTTAAGAGTGGGAGAAAGAACTCTGTTTGAGGCAAGTGTGAATATTGCAATTGGCCACATTGACTGTATTAATATTACTTTACTCACCTAAGAAATGTAACAGTCTTTGCAAATAATTGCAAAGTTTGCTGTAAAGTAAATTCTATCCCAATTCTTCATGTTAACTACTCAGAGAAGTAAACTCAGTAGATTACTTCCACATGCCTACACTTTGACCTGGATTGAGTCAATAGTTTAGGCAGTTATCAATACATAGAATAGGCTGAAACTCCATTTAAGCAACTCTTAGATCAATATTTTCTTCAGAGTCATTGCCACAGGAAAAGAAACTTGGTGCCTTCATGCTGTTCAGAACTGCACCTGTCTGGGCTCCTTGCAGGAACAAATCATGGTCTAAAAGTAGGTGACTTATATTAACAGCAAGAAAAGGAAAACAGAAGTCTGTAGCCATTCACTTTGCAGGTTGTATAAGCTTAGATACTTCAAGCGAGACTTCTGAAAGTATACAGAAGGCAGCATAACTGTTTACTCATTGCTTAAGCCTGTCTGATAGGATATCTGTCTCCCAATTACCATTATTTGCATGTATGTTTTACTGTAATCTATTATGGTTGCTGTGCACTTAAATATGTTTAGGATAGGCGAGATCATTAGGTGACTGAAGGAACATAATAGGTGGGTCTTCTGACTGATTTGCCAGCAGATTTCAAAATAAATAAAATCCATAATACACAGTAAAGCCAGGATTAACATCACATATAGTAATACACTTGGGAAACTGAATGTTTATCCTTTTAAATGCTTATTATTAAAAATTTTATTATATATTCTGAATGATTTTGCCATGAACTTCTTCAGTCATGTGCTCTGGCCAAACCAGTGTTATTGGTTTTCATTGACATGGCCATGTTAGTCTGGAATATCAGTATGTAAAGGATCTTGTGGCACCTTAAACTCTGAGAGATTGAGGTTGGTAGCATAAACTTTCATAGACTCTAGATGCAACTATACCATACAATGAATTCTGTTTTACATCACCTTATCTGTCATGGTTCCTTTGGACCCATGGCTGCATGGTATAATGGTTTCACCATTGAATGATGACCCTGAACACCCAACACTCCCCATTCTGCCATGGAAATTCACTGGGTGAACTTGGGTAAGTCACAGTCTCTCGGCCTCAGAGGAAGGCGATAGCAAACCTTTCTGAATGAATCTTGCCAAGAAACTCCTGTGATGAGTTTGTCTTAGGTCCACCATAGATTTGAAATGACTTGAATGCACGTAACAACAACTCAGTGCTCATAAAAACTTGATGTTTTAAACCATATTTTTTAAAAAATATATTATTTTAACTGGATGAGAATGCTTAATAGTTTTTCAAAAGAATATATCAAGTTTTTTGTAAATTAGCGGGAGAAATGCAGAATTTTTAAACTGACAGGATTACAAATGAGATATTGCACCTTCCTGTATTGTATTTGAAATGCAAATGGCAAACGTGTTTTTCCTTGCCAAAATAAGATGGGTAGAATACTTGAGAATAAGAAGCTTTGCATTTCCATTAGTTTATTATCATTATCCATTTGTAAGAAGTCTCACTTCATACTGTGACGGTTGTGGGTATCCGTCATGCTAAGAACAGTATGACTATTTCTAACAGGCTTCAACCACAAGAGGTCCTTTGAGTTTCCTGTTCAGACAGTAGCCCTTTTGTCTGAGTGCTTATGCCCATATCATACGCATATCATATATTCCATGGCTCACAAAGGCCTCTGTCTGAGAATAGTGTTCTGTATGTATCAGGTGAATTTCAAGGTCCTTGAATACTAGGTTACAACTAGTCTCAGGCTTACGTACATCTGCATCGTATTGGAAATAGTGGGCAGTTGTGGATTTGATGTAGTCTGTGCCTTAACATATGATAATTTTAAAGAATGTATTTCTGTCTAGGGCCAAAGAAGGACAACAAACTTCTGTTTGTAAAGGTGCTTAAGAAATGCGTACATTACTTTTCCGAAGGAGAGAAAGGTCTAGTTTCTTCAAATGCTGGTGTGTGCATGTGTCTTCAAGTTGCCTGTTGACATGAATTTCATAGGGTTTTCTTAGGCAAGGAATATTCAGGGATGTTTTGCCAGTTCCTTCCTCTAGTAATTTCCCATCCAAGTGTATTCAAAGGCTGATCCTGCTTAGCTTTCCAGATCAGACAGGATTGGGTGCCTTTAGGCTATTTTAAACCATGCAAATGCTACCCACTGGTTTAATTTCAGGAGCCCTTCAAGGAGGTTTGGTAGTGAAGTCTTGATTTTGGTAGAGGAAAGGAAAAGAGAAATCACTACACAAATAATTTACAGATAAATGCCAAAATCTCATACATCAAAATGAACTACCTTTACTTTGGGGAATAACAAACTCCACACTACTGGAGACAGTAGTTTCAAAAATGGTACAATCCTGAACATTGTTAGAAGAAATTAGTTTTGGCAAAATCTGAATTAGTCAAGTGAACTTAGCTGGAAGTGGATGGTAAGCTGCTCTCTTTCCATTAATGTAATATGCCTGGTTCTGTTCTAGTCTAGCTTGTATCCACTTACACTTGACAAATATGGTAGGGAAGTTTTGGTAGCGGTGGTTGTGTTTTACTAGCTCATGATTGGTGTTTATGTTAGAGGCATAACTTCTGACAGGATCAAAAGACTTATACTTAAAGTAGTCTGCTGTGCTTTATTCCCATAAGTAGTCTTTTGTGCATTTGACAGAGTTTGCTATTCCTTTGCAAATGATTTCTGTGTCTTGTGTGATGTACTCCTTTCTTGAAAAATAGCAATAGTTGTTCATGTTGTTGAATTTAACTGTCACCAAGTTGATTTTGACTTACGGCAACCCTGTGAATGAGAGACCTCAAAGTCACCCTTTTATTGACAGCTCTGTTCACTTGGCAAAGACTTCTATGATCAAACTTATCCATCTGGAATGTGATCTTCCCCATTTTCTAGTGCCTTCTGCATTATCAAGCATTATTCTCACATGTGTCCAAATTATAACGGTCTCGGTTTAGTCATCTTGGCTTCTCATTTATTTGACTTTTTAGCAGTCCACAGTATCTGTAGAAATCTTGTCCCACACCACATTTCAGTCTCCATGGTTCAGGGTATGAACAATAAACTAATTTTGTGGAAAGCTAGCTCTTAGTCAGAKGAAGACTGTAACAAGGGTTTGACACCCTGCTCCTCTTCATAATCTCTCCTCTTCTGTAGAAAGCTGTTTTAAAATGGAAACGGGGGGGGGGGGGTATCCCAATGGCTTTTACACACACCGTTTTAATCTTGGGCAAATAATTATTATGATCTTTCTGTTTGATTACCTATTTTTCTTTGCAGCAGAAAAAAATAAGTACGTAAAACCAATGACTCACGCTACTTTTCTAAAAATATGACAGATTTTCTAGGGCATGCACAAATTCATCTCATTCTCTTAGTACTTATTTCATAATATGGAGCTACCTTATACACTATTTGGCTCATATTTTTAGATCTTCTGCTTTCTGGTTCTTAATAAGTGTCTCAGAGCATCATTGGAAGGAAATCTAGAATGGGGTGCAAATTAGACAGTGGGTTGAGGAACAGGGTGTCTTCTAATCCATCTCTTAATAAAGAGACATATTTTTTGGAAAAGTATAAGGAGGTGTTTTTAAAAGGTGTGAAAAGGGACTCAAATGGTGCAGCACCTGACAAAGCAACAGAGAAAAAGGTTTCTAATGCCCAATGTCCAACGTTTATGAGATGGGTTACAGTTTTTGTGAAATTGGCACAGTAACATTTTAAAATAAATAATTGTATCAATCTTCTTCAGTTTTGGGGAGAGGAGGTGTTATATCATGTTTTTTTTTAGATTTCCATTTCATCAAATGTTTGATGTCAGCATTTTGGCTATTAACCTGTTTTGGCCTACAACTTCCAGAAATCCTAGCCAGTTTACCAGCTGTTAGGATTTCTGGCAGTTGAAAGCCAAAACATCTGGGGACACACAGATTGAGAACCACTACTATAACATATTGTTAATCTTTGAAAAAGTGTTCCACGAAGAAGCATTTATCCTGTTTTCTACAGTTAAAGCATAAACTTAGAGCCATCATAAGTTACTGTACCTGTGCAATAGTCAAATAGATGTCAAAACTGTCAGTCAGTAAGAAAATCATTATTTACCTGTTAAATTAAATGCAGAATCCCTTGTATTCTGCATCTGTTTTTCTGTTTTGTTTTTATCTTAGCAGCTGCCAGCAATACTATGACAACTATGTAGTCAACAAGTGGCATGGAGACCCAAGGATTGGATTAGTGTTTAGTTTGAGGCTCCTCATGTTTTCCTGGACCACACAATTTATTTTATAAATTTTCTGGTTTAAAAAAACTTCCATCCCTGTTCCCAGAAACCAAAACAACTCAATGGAGAAATAGCATTCCCAGGGGAAAAACACCAGGAATGAAAATTGGAAATGGCAGTAATGTGGTCCTTGTACCCAATTCAGGACCCACACCTGTTTTATGTTCTTGTACTTTTCTTTCCTCTCTTGATGCCTTGATTATTTGAAGTGTTCTAAGACTTCATTTTATGCTGGTTTGCAGAGTGACTGCCAAAAATAATACCCACAGTTATAAATATTATTACCTAATTTGTATATCTGTTACATTTCACAGCAAGAGTTGGAAAGACATCACTTATTATGTCTCTTGTCAGTGAAGAATTTCCAGAAGAGGTATGTTTTCATGCTGTTTGAATAATTTATGTCAAAAGAAGATGGGTTTTTAAAACCATTTTAAAAAGTAGGTAGACCACAAAAAAACAAAAACAAAAACCAAGAATGCACAGTGAAATAATTTTAAAAGAACATTTATTGGGTTTTCCTATGTAGAAACACTTGAAAAGTCTTTCTAGCATATATAAAGTGATCTAAAAATATATAAGAAGAATAATGTGAGGTATTTTACAAGTTGAAACAAAGCAACATTCCAAGTGTTTAAATTTGGGGACATTTTAAATCTTGGTAGTTTTCACAATTTGATGTGTGTTGGGTTGACCTTAGATAGTAATATGGATATAATATGTAGCTCTTCAGTGGGATTTCATTGCATGACAATTCATTATGGTCTTCATTGATTAGGCAGATGTATAGGAATAATAATTCAGGCTGCTGGTGTAGTCACTACAAAATGAATTTAAAGGGTACTCAACTATTAATTGCAAGGCACTCAGTTACAAGACTTTCAAAAAAATATGAAAGGATTGCTTTTTGGAGTCTATAAAATCAAGGGCAGAAGCATTGATTAAGAACCTGAAATATTTTCTCAACTTGAATTGATTTATTATCCTTGCTGATAGAATAACATATAACTAGTTTCTAAAATACTCCTTTTTCTTATCAAGGTTCCTCCACGAGCAGAAGAAATCACTATTCCTGCTGATGTTACCCCAGAGAGAGTGCCAACCCATATAGTCGACTATTCAGGTAAAGGATGTATTGAGGGTTTTTTGGCTATTTATTTGTTTTCTTTATAGTCCATCTTCATTTGAACATGGGATTCAAGGCAGCTTACAACAAGTCAAAGGAAATACAATAGGAAAAACCTATTGCTATAAATTTAAAAAGAATAAACAATTCAATAAAAATGAAAACAGTATTAAAAGATTTAAAATATATTAAATATAATTATTAATATAGTAAAATAATAATGACACAACACATCTAATTTAAAGTGCTCTCTTGAAAAGAGTAAAAACATACAGGCTTTCTAGAGGAAGATGTGGATACTACACTGTTGGGTAAACAGAAGCCACAAAATTTCTTCTCCTTGCCCAACACTTAATAAATATTCAAAAAGTGAGTCTGTTTGCCTATCTTGAGTCCGCCAGTATTTTATTTGTTCATATAAATATTCCAAGATATGGAAAAAGGACGGGAATAATTTAAGATTTAGAAAGTCTATATTAGATCAGTGGAGATCATTGTTTTTCCCCCACCCCTGAGGATTCCCTCGAACTAGTACCATTGTACTAGTTTGTGCCCATTGTCTACAAGTACCACATTTTAGTACATAAAAGTAACTTTTTATCCCTTTTTTGCCCCCCCCCCCCAAGGGAGGGGGAAGTCTTTTATCAGCTACTAGTCTGGTTGCTGAGTGAAGCCCCGTAGATATTAGGAGGCCAGGCGCATGGTCAGGTGACTTACCCATGCATTTGTCCTCTTTCCTTCCCTTTGATCTCTAAGGGGTGTGTGTGAGTGAATAAAGCTTTACTGCCCGCCCGCCCCCAATCAGCTGCTAGCTGAGTGAAGCCCTGTAGCTTCAAGGGGGAGGTGCATGGATGAAAGCAAAAAAATACCATGGGGGGGGAGCAAAAAAGGGAGGGTGCAACTTTTAGGCTGTGGTGATTAATATGCAGTGAAATATGAGTAGTTCTTTCATTTCCATATGTTGTAGAATCACAGTATCTGTTACACTTGGCTACTGCCCATACTGATTTGGCTTAGTTAAACTGGAGCATGGAAGGACCAAAGAGGATCCAGTTCTTTTGGGATCATGTTAGTTGAGATGAAAATGATTAGGTAGAAAAATTATTATAAGACTGATAATATCGGTCGGAACTTCTACCAAGTATGAAAATGGCTGATACTCTACTGTCTGTTTTTAGCTTCAAGGCACATTATATTTCAGTTGATCTAGTTTGTAGCCAGTGCCAAATCACACTAACTTCTGCCATATGTGATGTGGAAGATTAATATAATTTTAACTGATATAGAATAACCTCATTTGCAACTGTTACAGATGCATTCATGCAATATAACATAGTGCTCTGTGTGCATCTGATAATTATCCTGTTTGAGAGCAAAAAAACTTACATCCCACACTTTCATTTCTATCAGATGTCATAGATGCTTTTGTCCGGCTACCTGTCTGAGATCTAGGAAAAACAGATGATGCCTCTTTGAGTCAAATTGTTCTTGAGTTGTTATTCAAAAAAAAATGTATATCAGTGTCTTCAATGCTTCTTCCCAATTTTTTTCTGTTCACTATTGTGATGTGCTTTCCCATGACATCTTCCCCTATTCGCCTTTGAAATATTTCCTGCTTTAATATGACTCCCCTTGGGAGCTAAGTACATCATTTCTTCTGTATCCAGATGTTTAGACTTTCTGAATGCTCTTGTTTATCTAGCAGAAATAGCATCAACAGGCTTGAAGGAACCTCAGCTTCTGAAAAAATTAAGGAGGCCCCGTTAAGAAAAGGAGATGCATCATGGCAAGGGAATACTGACTGAGTATTTGGGGTGGGGAACAGAAATCTGGGTAGGAAATTTAATTGAATAAAGGAGAACATGGCTGGCTGAATGGAATGGTAAACTAAGCACTCCATGCTGTAGATTTTTTTTTTACAAATCCCATTTGTTTTTAATAGGTATTACATTTTGCATGAGTTTCACATGTCAGGGATTGAGCTTTGGAAAGGAACAACACCATATCTGACCATTCTTGCTGAAAATGGCAGTTTTCTGAAAAATTCGTCTCTTGCAGGCATTGTAAAATCTGTAGAATTGTCTTTTTAGCAAAAGTGTTTCAAAATAGAGGCCTACTTCCATTGTTCACCCTACACAGTTTGGGCCCATTATATTGATGGGACTAGAGTTAACTATAACTAATATGTTCCATTCATTTCAGTAGGTTTTGCTCTGGATCGGATTAACACTAGATTTAGTTCAGTATTTCCACACATCTTTATGCCATTGCAAATTCTTATAGTAAGAAACCTTGCAAGATTGGAATTCAATACCTCTGATTCCCACTTCTGGATTAAAGGAAATTAACTTCTGCTGAAATGTTGTTGTGCTAGTATTGCTTCTCTGGAATACTTTTCTCTTTTGGATTCAATACAAAATATAATAAAAATAAACAAGTCAGCACTTGAGAGAATGCTTTTCTAGCTGAAAGTTTGGGTGAATGGTCTTCTTATTTGATATATAGGTTTGATGCAATGGTTTTAAACAGAGAGTTATTGTTACCTTTTCCTTTTTCATTTTTAGAAGCTGAACAAAGTGATGAACAACTCCATCATGAAATATCACAAGTGAGTGTTGTGTCCCTTATTTTGAAATGGCATTTCTTAAAACCTGCCTTCTAAAACTCAGTGTCTGAGAGTTATTTCAGTATAAGAAAAGTTAGGCTCACTTGGATACTCCTGTCCCTCAAGATGCACCAGTAGCTGAGTAGAGGTGTATGGAATGGATGCCACCTATAAAATAATAAGATTTCAGTTTCTGCAAAAAAAAAAGCTGGTTTCCAATAAGTCCTCAGAACAATACATACTATATTCTCACTTTCAGCTCTACTTATTTTGCTAGTAACTGAAATGCCATAATTATGGCTTTATACATGTAGTCCCCCAGATTTATAGATTGGTGAGCAGAATCGTTTGGCACAGAAGGCTAAAGACCTTAAAAACTACAGACCCCAGCATTGCATAGCCTTGCACCAAGGCAGATAGAGTGGCATCAAGCTGCATTCATTCTGCATTATAGATGCACCTCAAGGAAGCTGAATCGGGATAAACATGGGAGGCTCCATGAGGGAAGGGTTACCTATTTCTCTGGTTTTCCTTTCCATTGCTGGATGATTTGGTGTTTGAAAACTTTTGTTTTGAAGGAATTCTAAGCGCGCAGCAACTTTAATGTGCACCATTTTTGGCCAAATTACAAAGAGTGCACTTTTCGTTGCTTCACATTACACCCTGGTGAGTGAGGGTGTTCTCTCGTGCACCAGGCAACAGCATGTGTCAAGCTGATTCCGATTTACATACAAATTCAACTTTAAAACAAACTTTCAGAAGGTATCTTGTTCGTAACCCAGGCACTGTCTGTATTTGATCAAAAAAGTCAAGTCCTTAAAATTCTGTAATTGAAATTTAGCAAGGAAAAAGCCATTTGAATCTCTGTGAGCAAAGCAATACAAAAAGCAATCCTTAGCCAAATTGATTTTCCTTTTCCAAAGGTAATGTTACAATTGTTTTCCTCAAGAAACCTTACCGTTATAATCAAATTGTTTTCTTCTGTATTGCAGGCGAATGTAATTTGCATAGTATATGCTGTGAACAACAAAAATTCAATTGAAAAGGTATGAGAGCAACATTTCTTGTTCAATTTCAGTTGTCATTAACATCCTTTCAGATATCCTGAGTAGGGATGCACAACCGGTATTGAGAGATAATTTATCTGCCTATGCTCCCATACTTTATCTGCCTGCTTATATGGCCTTTTCTCAATTAGTCTTGAAAATGGTATGATAACATTTTTGCTTTGGTGGACTCTTTTGGGATGCGAGCCATTCTATTTCCACACGATGTATTTAGGGAAGGTGAGATGGTAGACAGATTGAATATGCTGCATTAGCAGCATTTGCCTATTAGTTATTGAATTGGGAGAATGAACTGGCTAACTCAAAATCTCTGAAAAAATCAAATTTGCAGCCACTGGAACTGCACTTGCTTCATGGTGAGCTTCTTTCAAAAAGTAGATTGTAACTCCAGAGCATGTTTGTGATGCAGATGGACTCTTCTCCATAACAAATGAGTAGCAAGTTTAAATCTATTATATGTGAAATCATTGTGCAAACAGATATTCTGTTTTTCATTCTCCTGCATCTTACATTTCAGCAAGATGTTAACCTAACTTTTATGCACTCACGATAAACATTGAAAATCTTGTCTATTTGCTCTTCTTAGAATCTGGGGTGTTGGAAATGTCACTATTTAAACTTAGGTAGTGGACTATAGATTGTGAAAACATACATTCAGGTTGGGTGGAAGGAGAATTGTGAACTAGTTTTAATAATGACTGTTAACTTGTTGGTTTAGGTAACAAGCCGATGGATTCCTCTCATCAACGAAAGGACAGACAAAGATAGCAGGTATATTGAAAATGCAAATTGATTAAATACAGAATTATGGGTGCTGTATATGTAGGGTTTGCTGAAAACAATCAATTTCAGTGAACTACTCCATGTGGAATGTATACGATAGTTGGCTGCTTATTATTTGGAGTAATCACTAAAGCATAAGATCATCCCTCTGTGATCTCCAGTATAGGATATCTTTCTCTCAAGATAGCTGCCTCAACTTGTTAATTACACATATGGGCTCCCAATTTGTTTCAGTTGAAGCAGTTTAATGATTATTCACTCTGGGAGATTTTTGTTTGGAAGCAAAAAATTACAACTTGGTTTCAAAGAAGACATTATTTTCTAAATGTTATTTTTCCTTGGTCCAAATTAGATACTAACTAGTGCACTCTTGGATACCTTTTTTCTCTTAAATTGTCGAAAGCTGCTTAAATATCCTAAACTCTATTTGAAGGAAGATTCTTTTGGTTCCTTCCAGACCTATTTCTTTCCGTAGAATTAGAACCTAGATCTGCTAATATTATAAATCAGCAGCTTTTGTCAGTCATGGTGAACATGCCTGGTGACATGTCAGTAAGCAGGAGATTTTTTTTTTTTTACTGTGACAACTTCTCTGATTTTCAGATTGCCTCTTATACTGGTAGGCAACAAATCCGATCTGGTGGAATACAGTAGCATGGAGACCATCCTTCCCATCATGAACCAATACACAGAGATAGAAACTTGTGTAGAGGTAAAAAAAAAACTTCGGCAAATAAACTGGTTGAATATAGATGCAAGGACTATCTGGTTGACTTCGAATAGACTGTGTTTACCGAAATGGGCCACTGGAATGTTTTGTCCCTTTTGTGCTTGAAATAATATGATCCGGGAGAAATGAGTTTCGCTGAGTACAGCAATCAATCCCTGAAAGAACTGACTGTGAGGCACTTGCTCCCGCTCCCTCCCAGAAAGAACTCTGTCCCAGCCGGCAGTTTCTTTGCCATTCTTACCTTGTCAAACTGACCTTCCCCTTCTCTTTCTTCTTGTATAATACCTTTTTGAGAGCTTAAGAGACGTTCCTTTGCTTTTATTTGTGATGCGAGCTGCTTTGGGAACAGATTTTTTGCATGAATTTGGGATTAAAATGCAATTGAATGAAATAATACCAGTGTATATATTTGAATTGCATTTATGCTATTTTTAGTACCTAGGAATCCTTATAAAGACCATTTAATTATGTTTATTTGTTAATAATAGGTATTTATATCTTGCTTTATATTAAACTTCCAAAGCCACATCTATGATTTAAAACAAACAGAACAGCAATAATAATAAAAATAATTAAAAAAAACTTTATTTATAGACCGTCCTATCTCCCCAGATTGACTCAGGGAAGTTTCCAGCATGTATGAGTAAACATTCAATGCCAAAAAAACAAAAAAACAAAAACCCACATACACACACACACACACACTCAAGAAAAAAAAACATTCAAACAAAATTATATCAGGACAAATTATACTGAACAATATAAAAGCAACCTAACTCTAAACTTAATAACAAACAAAATAACTGACAATATCATGATTAAGCTTTTCACACTTGCTCACAATTTCATTTTTCTCTAGTGCTCCGCCAAGAACTTGAAGAATATATCTGAATTGTTTTATTATGCACAGAAAGCTGTTCTGCATCCTACAGGGCCCCTCTATTGTCCAGAGGAAAAAGAGGTATTTTCATATTTTGGTCTCATACAATCAGCCTTGCAAATGATTTGTCCCAATGCCTACATATCTGTAAGAAAGAAGAAACGTTTGTTAAGAGAAAATAGAGTTGTTGCTGATTCCCTCCACTTGAATCATCAATGGAAAATAAAAGATGCATGCAAAGAACGTATGCTGATTGCTAAATCATTATCTTAGAGGGCAGAAGTATTCTTTCTTGTTGAAGCTTCAGTGATAAAAATGTCATATTAAGTGCCGGAGCCCAAACTTGTGGTCTAATGTTAGTATGAAAGTGACCTCATGATAATGACATTAAAAGTATAAATAGTTAAGTGTAATAAACCTAATCTGTAAAAAATGTTTATATCTTCTGAATGTTAATTTTTTGATTGCCAGATATCATGGCACAGACTTATTGACTATCAGGTGTTCTTGGTAACAGATTCTGAAGTGAGGTGTCATTCCTAGTAAAACAAATTGAATTGGAATATTGAAAACTTCACCTTGTAAATTCCCCACTGTTGTGCTGACCTGTCCCTGTCCTTCTGCCAAGAGTTTTCCTGATATTATATAACAACAACAACAATAATAACAACAGCAACAACAGCCCTGCTCTATTTTCAATGCAGGAAATATGGAACAAGTAGTGTAAAGATTCTTTATTAGAATTCTGTTGGTTGATGGCTTGTGTCACAGATTTTGCATTTCATGTTGAAGCAAAAATGCAGAATACTTAGAATAAAACAATCATATCTCCTTACTGTCCTTTGATCTACAGATGAAACCTGCCTGTATAAAAGCACTAACTCGGATCTTCAGGATTTCAGATCAGGATAATGATGGCACCCTTAATGATGTAGAACTCAACTTCTTTCAGGTATATTTTAATGCATTGGCTAAGATTTACCCCCAAGTCTCAGTGCAAAGGCCCAGAGTGTTTCTGTCCAGTTCCTACCATTTCTGTGTCTCTCAATAGAGGAGGTAGACATTTGGATAGGGAGAGTGACTGCTTACAGGAAGGATGAGCTGAAATCTGCAACACTTTGAATCCTGACTTTCTCTCTTGTTATCATCAGTCTTCGTTAGCTTGGTCAGTGGTGTGGGATCATGGGAGCTGCAATCTAAATCACTTGGAGGGCTGCCATTGCCCACCCCTATGTTAGAGAGGGGGAGACTGAGAGAAATGATGCCAATAAAATGAGTAATCATGCTGCACTATTAAGGTTTCACAGATGACCATTTGAGAAATGGAAATTGGAAGGAGCATTCAGCCGGTGTACCATTAGAAATGTCCCTTGGAACTCTGACCTAATGTCCATAGAGTATGTGCTTTGGCTCCAATGTCCTAAGCAAGTGCATAATGACAAGACTGACTTAGGAGTGATGCTCTGGTTTCTGGATATTCTTTTTGCCATTGTCACCACAATATATTTTGCCAGCATCAAAACTGGGGGCTTGTTGGAGTTATTTTGGTTTGAAATTTGTATCCAGTGAACTGTGTGTTGTTTTCTATTTCCAAGGTTAATTTGAAATATTTTTATATTTCTTTTGTCTCGTTTTTTAGAGAATTTGTTTTAACACACCACTGGCACCTCAGGCACTAGAAGATGTAAAGAATGTAGTCAGGAAAAATCTAAGTGATGGAGTTGCAGATAATGGATTAACGTTGAAGGGTAAGGTGCTTCATATCTTTACATTAAAACAGAAAGATGAGATTGGGCCTGCTAAGTAAGAAAAATGGCAGCAAAGCCAAACATTATTAGCGGATTCTTGATGTTATACATCAACATGACACTGATATTATACTGGATATATTTGAGGTTGTCGATAAAGATTCACAGAACCTGATACCCTAATATTCCAACTTCTTGTTCTGTTTGTTTGCCTATTCAGTGGATATTTTCAGAACTGGAACAAAAATACAAAACAACTAGCAACATTTTCCTCACCCTCCTGACATGTCAGAATTCTCTGCATGTATGAAATGGGATCAGTAATTTGGTAGTGATGGCGTCTCTTATTCCATAAGCCTCTTTTTGTTTGATTAGAACCACAGTATTTTGTTAGATATGCACATGTGTTTTTACAAGAAAGGACTCTTCTGCAATTTCTTTTTTTAAGGAGTCTTTACCCGTGTTACCAATGTGCACCCAAGCGCATAACCTAGAACATTCTCTTTCCAGGTTTTCTTTTTCTACACACACTATTTATTCAGCGTGGGAGACACGAAACAACGTGGACAGTATTGCGGCGCTTTGGATATGATGATGATCTGGAGCTCACGCCCGAATATTTATTCCCTTTGTAAGTATCTCCAACCCTTGCTTTTATTTAATTCAAATATAGTTTGTGTTTTATATTTATAAGAGGGATCCCTCCGTTCCGATGGCTGTGGGCACTTTATCTCTGCTGGACTGAACCACAAGTCATTGCTTCAAGTGTTGTGTTATAAAACACATATATTTTAATATACTTATGTTTTAATATATGCTTTTAAAATATGTTTTAATATATGATTTTATAGATGTATCTAACTGTGTTGTTCTGAAGCTTTGAGCTGAAACAAGAGGCGGGTAATAAATAAAAGTGTATTGCTGTTATTATTGTTACTGTTCCCAATAAGAGCCAAGCCAATACTTCTGGAATATAACTGGCATTCATAATCATATAAATGTTATCTAATTCTGTAATCCAGATTACTGATCTTGCAATATTTTGTAAAGCAGGGCTGGGGCTATGGGTAGTCTATTGCAGCACATGGCCATCAAGGATATTTCTTTAAAGGAACCCCTGATCCTTGCTCGCCTCCCCAACATTTTGGTAAGGGGGAAATCAGGAACAAACGGATGCCTAGAGGTTTTTTCAACAAAGCATCTTTTTCTTTTACCAGGTTAAAAATCCCTTCCGACTGTACAACAGAGTTGAATCACCATGCCTATTTGTTCCTCCAAAGCATTTTTGATAAGCATGATTTGGTAAGCTTTTAACCTTATTTAGAGGATATTTTCATAAGGAATGTTTGAAATGTCATTCTATAGTATGTGTTGTAAAACTGTTGGGAGAGGGAGATTTGTCAAGCATTTAAACATATTTATTTTCATTTTTAATTTATTTCAGCATCTCACATCAGAAATTATTGTATTCTAGAACAAATATTCCTCTGACCCAAACCACTCCTATTTTAAACTATTAGAGAGCTCAAGAGTCATGAATCAAAAAGAGTGTTGGTTATTCAGCCTGTTTCTGGAGTTATTTGGGGCACTGATTCAGAGGATTGCATTGGATAGTTCTAGTTTCTAAGATAATATGGTTCACATCAATTTCTGTGGGCAGTCAGATGAAGACTGGTAGATTGCATAAGTTCTGTTTCAAAAACTAGAGCTGATAGATGGTAATCATCGGCATTTTGGGATCAGGAGGACCAGAAACAGGCGTCAAAATGTGTGTTAGCCAGTGTGGTTGTTCAGTATGGTTACTGTATATACTTGAGTATAAACCTAGTTTTTCACCCCGTTTTTAAGGCTGAAAAAGCCCCCCTCAGCTTGTACTCAGGTGAGGGTCCTGGTGGGAAGGTGTGGAGCTGAAAGTAGGGCTTCTTTCAGCCCCACGTCTTCCTGCCAGGACCGTCATCTTTCCGCACAGCAACCCAGCTCTCCTTCTTCTCCTCCTCTCTCACACAGCTCGCACCTTCCTCTTCTCCTTTCTTTGCACCAGTCTTCCCCAGTTTTCCTTACTCATATACACACAGCATTTCCCCCCAAATGTATAGTTAAAATAAACTATGCTGATTATTGGAAGGATACATAAGCACGTTTACTTTGAAGAAGGCTAGAATAATGATTTAATGAGAATTGGACAATCTTATCTTAAATTACAGTTTTATATAAATATTCAAAAACATTTAACCTACTGAAGCCTCAATTAATGTAATTTTTGGTATCTATTTTTATTTTGAAATTTACAAGTAACTGCTGCATTTCCCACCCTTGGCTTGTACTTGAGTCAATAAGTTTCCCCAGTTTTTGTTGTAAAACTAGGTGCCTTGGCTTATATTTGGGTCGGCTTATATTCGAGTATATACAGTATTTTCTTGAATCATAGGTGAAGTAATCTTAGTTTCTTCAGTATGAAAAGGAAGCAAGTCACACCTTAAAAGTGAACTTATTTCAATATTATCTTTCATGCTGAGCAACTGAGTTGTAATCCTTAAAAGCTGATGCTGAAATATCTCTAAATTGCTACAAAACTTCTTTATTGGCTTCCAGTGTTTAAATTTTACTTTTGCTCCTTTACCCACTTAACTGCAAGGCTGTTTGTGTAGCTGGAATTAAATTTCATTTTTATCAATTTTAGCAGTCTGGTTCTAAGTACAAATGCTATCAGTATTCATTTAATCTGTTTCCAGGACCGAGATTGTGCTTTGTCTCCTGATGAACTCAAAGATTTATTCAAAATATTCCCTTATATGCCATGGGGACCAGATGTCAACAATACTGTCTGCACCAATGAAAGGGGTTGGATAACTTATCAGGGATTTCTGTCTCAGTGGACGTATGTACATACCTGAAATACACATTTTGCTTTTGGAGAGGCTTGCACAGTTCCACTATTTTGTTTTCAAAGGCACCAGAGGTTGTCAAGGGCACCAGGAATTTAGGAAGGTTGAAGGCTCGTACAACTAGTAAGGCTTTTTGGCACTTAACTATTAAAGCTGCTTGTGTGAATATGATCAAAAGGTCCCCAAAGTGCTGAGAACAAACATATCTGAGGGAGAGGCTAGGTGATGTCTTCCTTAAAATTTTATTTTTCTACAGGAAGGGTGTTTTTTGAGAAGGGATGTATGTCCCGTTTTTTACCCTGCAGTTGACTTTACTGTATTTAAAGCTGGTAGGTCTTTTTGAAGTGCTTTCAGTACATTTCTTCCCTCAGCAGTGTGAAATTGCTGTATGGACATACTGCACGTCTTAAACACAGCAGGCTGCATGTCTAAAGGACATTAGTTAATGCACCTGAAAGAAGGAAATGGATACCATTCCGGGGTTTCTGTGTCTATTCACTATCTATATTTTGATGTTGTCCCTTTGAGAGATGGAATACAAAATAATATATCTGTCATTTATATCCTTCTTTCTTTAAGCCTTTTAAAGTGATTAGGGGTTTGTTTATGTTCAAGCACAGATCTGAGGTGGTTTACTGGAAATGAATTTTTTTTTCTTTGCTAGACTTACTACTTACTTGGATGTACAGCGCTGCCTTGAATATTTGGGATATTTGGGATATTCTATATTGACCGAACAGGAATCCCAGGCCTCAGCAATTACAGGTAACTGCTCACTATGATCTGGTATATTTTGGAAGAGAGAAAAACTTGATTCATCTTCGCTTCCTGGCATTGATTTGCATTTTGAAGCAAAGCAGTATGAAAAGATAGCAGAAATTCTACTTAGTATTTTGTGTGCAGTCGGTCATGCAAACTTATTTTTGTAGCAATCCAAACCGAAGATCTGGAAGAAATTGAGTACTGGGTTGTGTTTTGTTTTTTAAAAAAGTACAATCCCGTGCTTTTTCCGTTCCGTTGAGCACATGAAACATGGTCACAGAACCAAGAGGTATCTGAATGGGTGGAGCAGAGCAAGCAGTGAGGAAATATATGTGAAGCCAGAGCTCTAAATGAAATGCCAGGGAGAGAGGAATGCAAATATTATCAACCTGTGTCCCCTTCAGCATTTTGTCCCTTGTTATCTATGTATAACAATGTCCGCTTCATGTGTTTCTTCTTCACTGATTGTCATTTGGGGTTGGATGGGTAAACAATGCATTGCTGGGGAGATCAGAGTCAGCAGCACACATGCAGTTCTCTGTAGTGTCTGGAAAAGGGCAGTAGGGAAAGGCACATCGGGAGTCGGGATCTTGAATTGTGAGCTCTGAAATAAGATTTTAAAGTCTTGGCCCAATTTACATTGAAGTCTTCTGTCACCTGTTGCTTTTGTCAAGCTTAAGACAGTAGGGGAGGCAAAGAAGTGAAGAAACAGATTCTGAATTCGACACACAATTTAATTTACCAGAGTTTCTATTAAAAAACATTTGTCTTCATGAAGCTGCTTATTTCACTAATGTGGACCAGCAGATAATACTGGACTATGCTTGCAGCAGTCACACAACCATGCCATAGTTTTTCCGTGCAGCACCAGCCGAGATCCGGAGGGCGGGGAGGCGGGGTCGCAGTGGTCTATAGAGATTCCA